CTAAAACTCCATTCCGGAATGTGGAGCCGCGCCAGAAAGGCCAAAGGGTAGCAGCCAGACGAAAAGCAGCGGGTCTCTGTTCTATACATAACCGCAATACGAGACGGTCTAGAGGTAAAGTTGTACTGCCCTCTGCGATGTCTTGAAGACAGTAAGATGTTTCCTCCGATCCACCATCACATGCGGGATAATCATCACTTATGGAAACAGCGATTCCGCCTTTCCCTCAAGACCGGAAGGCTAGAAAAGGTTGGCCTCAAAGTCCAATCCGATCATTCAGCGTGTGACCGTCGGGGAATCATTCACTGCGGACGGACTACCTACCAAGAGGCTGATACAGCTCCAAACGCATCTACCAGGCACACTAGCATCATCCTTGATACATTTATGTCCTACTTTCTGCGCTTCTATACATAACCGCAATACGAGACGGTCTAGAGGTAAAGTTGTACTGCCCTCTGCGATGTCTTGAAGACAGTAAGATGTTTCCTCCGATCCACCATCACATGCGGGATAATCATCACTTATGGAAACAGCGATTCCGCCTTTCCCTCAAGACCGGAAGGCTAGAAAAGGTTGGCCTCAAAGTCCAATCCGATCATTCAGCGTGTGACCGTCGGCGAATCATTCACTGCGGACGGACTACCTACCAAGAGTCTGATACAGCTCCAAACGCATCTACCAGGCACAACTAGCATCACCTTGATACATTTATGTCCTACTTTCTGCGCCTTTAGGCTGGGCTGGTCCAAAGCAGTCAAATCGGTCAAACTATTGAGTTATTGACTTCGAGCAGCGTACCCAGGAAAAGCCTAATACACGCTGCCTTGTGGTTCAGAGTTTTGAGTCAAAGGCTCACATTGGGGCATCTCAAACACACTCCTTTGCTTGGCCTGGGGAAGTTTCATCCACTCTTGTAGCCCTTCGTTCTCCAACCCCACCCCCACCCCTTCCCAATATCAAATGACGCGCTGCGGTGAAGCCATCTTCTAGTCCCCTACCTATCGTCTCGTCTGAACTATCTCCCAGCTAAATGAACCAAAATAATTCCCACTAAACCCCTAAGATCTAATTCACGTTGCAGCCTTTAATATCCGCATTCTACATCAACTTAGGCAGCGGACATCAATTGATGACCCTCATTAAGGCGCTGTACGCCAACTCCCGCGGCAGTATAAATGTCCACGGGAAGCTCTCTCCTGAGTTTACCACACCAAGTGATGTCCGACAGGGCTGTTATCATTCACCTCTCCTTTTCAACTTCGTCATTGATGCGATCATGGAAGACTCACTACCAGCCTGTAATGCCTGTGGGGTCGAAGTGCTCCCTGGGCCTCCGCTCACAGACATCGAGTACGCAGACGACAGCTCTTCTGGGATCTGATCCCGTGGTAATGTAAACAATATTAAATAATCTACATAATTCTGCCTCGCGGTTCGGCCTGCGCTTCACACCTGCAAAGTGTAAAGTGCTACTGCAAGACTGGGTGGGCTCAACCCCTAGCCTCATGCTTGCGGATGAACCG